AAAATGAATTATTTTATTGAACTTTTTACTTCATGTAAACCTGACTATAAAAGATCTCAGAATTGTTTTCAACAAGTATATAAAATTCAAACTTATGCCTTATGAGACAATTTAACTATTTCATTTATGTGACTCTGTCTCTGGTGGTAGGCAATGTCTGAGCTTAGAGAAAAAGCAGCACAACAGCTGTTTTGCTTAGGAAAGGATCCCCAAAGAATTTATATCCTCATCGTCTTTCATTGCACCTCAGTTCTACTTAACTAGACGTGGAAAAACTAATGTTTTAGTTTTGTTGACAGAGAAACGATTTGATATAAACGGTTAGATCTCGTACTCCATCGTTCATTTAGTGGGTCACGCTTAAAATTATTCAGAATTCTGGCAGATCTAGTTAGAAGTGCTTTTCATTCTATAGAGAACATGAAGATAGAAGGCAGGTAAATGTTAAATCTTAATCTAAGATGTAGAGGATTAAAAAACCGGCTCAGCTTCCCCCTGCAGAAGATCGCTACAAATATTGGGTGGAGGCAAACAACACCTGTGCAGCCGGTCATTTGCATAATATAATCCAATCATAATTGCTGCACGTCATTGACTGGTCCTGTCTTTAATTAACGTAACAAAACTTTAAAATGCAACCACACAAACAGATGGTTGGGCAAAATTCTTCGCTGGTTTTCAGCGGCTTGTTCTACTGTACTTTGAAATTGGGCATTGAAAATTCAAAGGTTAAAGCCACTTCCAGTCGATGATTGGTGCCCAACCCTGCTAGACATCCTACTTGGTAATTATATTTTAGCTGTAAGGAATTAAGAGTCATTTATATTTATTTGCATTTATAGTAATACCAGCTGATCTTGCCTTATACTGCTCATCTCAGTCACCACTCCTAATTGCACCATCAGCAGGTGTGAATGCATGTGATTGAACCCACAGGAGACATGTGTGGCTGCAGCAGCGGCAGGCTTTAGTTAATCTCCTGTAGAAGCTGTTATTCCCCTCAAAGCAGCTGGAGTCCTGCCAGCCACACCTGATTTCTCCACACGTCTTGGTCCGGCCAATCAGTGGTTTGTGCAGGGGGTCGGGAACACGATGAGCAGAGAGAGGATTGATGAGCACTAAAGAAAAAAAGAATGTGCTAGAAACATAAGAAGGGTGCACATCTTTCTGGAAGTTACTGCAGGAACTGGGATGTTGGGGCTTCTGGGTCGGTTCATATAAAGAGCGGATTTTGAGACGACCTCTCGATACTCTTTTATGTCAGTGAAGTCGCATCCCGTTGCTGAACTTCGTCTTGGAGTAGGAGTTTCTTTACCAGAGACATTTGCTATGGACCTAACGGTTTCCAAAGAAGCAGGGAAAACAGCGAGGGCCTCAACAGGTGCCTCCAAAACCATCAAGGCATCTTCTTCGTCTCTCTCTGCGTCGTCGTGGGGTCTTTCTGGACGTGTAGGCCTGCGAGTTCTGATGCACCGTGACATGATTACCTGCCGGTTGTACCGATCCCTGCCTCGATCCTGGCTGAAAAGATACTGGGGTCAACTTGGGAAGGATTCAAACAAGGCGTCATCTTTGCCACTCCGCTGGTCATCTTCTCCTTTCTCTATGTCGTCTCCTCGTTTGTCCCATTGTTCCTCCTCCATCCAGTCTCATTTCGTCCGTTCACCTGTGTCTCGTCTTTCTTTCCCAGCACTGAAAGACAAGGAGAGGGATCAGGCAGGCACAGCCGCATCTCAGGCTGCAGATGGCCAGCGAGGGTTTCCCGGCACCCCAGGCATGACCGTTAGTTTTTTTGCACCCAGCAGTCAACCTTCAGCCAGCCTCAGCAGTAGCAGCGCTGCAGCTCCAGCCTCCAGCGTTGGTTCCAGCCTCCGTCACCACAGCAGCTCAGGGTGGGTTCCTCTACCAAATATAGATCTGGAAATGAATTTCTTTGTGAAAACTACATTTAGATTATTTATATTGGGGAACATATTTGAAAAATAGGATTAATTGTGGTTAATATGAGATATATAGTGATATAAATCATACTAATGTAACAGGTGTCCTGCAGAAGCCGAATTTAATACTAAATAATATATATATATTATTTAAGAGTATTTTTTGCCAATGTCTTAGAGGTACATGAGAAAGACTGCAAAGAAGCAATGGCCTTTTTTAATCTTAACTTTTATTGTTGCCACGACAATATCATCTACTATCATAAGATTTGAAGTGCAAATCGCCCAGATGGAGATCTGTCAGCAGCACAGTGTTTAGCTTTTGTTTAAGCAAACTTCAGGCTTTTCCTTTCAGAACATCTTTTAACTGAATCTGAGTAGAATAGATCGTGTATCACTTATTTAGTTTGATTTTAAGGTAATCATATAAGCCTATTTATTGCCCTTGCCAATTAAGTTTTAATAAACTTGTCCATTTTGAACAGTTTGGTTGCGTAGATAAAAGGTTGATTTATTATTATTAATATTTTTTTTTTTATGTTAATTATTGTGATTTTTATCTGTGACTGTCTTCGATCAGATCCCTTCCCGGGGACATGGATGAGGCAGATGCTCTCCGCTCTAAACGCTGCAATGACGACGCCATTTCCCTCGCTCCCTCCATCACAGAGTCCATCATCGTAGAAGGTGAGCTGATTCTCACAGTGGAGTCGAGGTTCAGAGGTTCAGACTTGCCGGTTGTTCTCCTCTTAGTGCTATTGGCTTCTAGCAAAGTCCGCAGATTTTGCTGCTTAACATGATTGAAGGCGTTGAAACGGTTTGTCTTAAGGGAGTTTTTTTTTTTTTTTTTTTTTAAAGCGAATGAGTGAGGATGTTTTGCTGAGTCATGACTTCAGCCTCATTAAGCTGAACTGTGTAGGAGAGATCAGACTGACTGGAGACAAGGGCTCTATGTTTGTTCTAGTCTTCAGAGTTTTATTGGATTTGCTTTTAACACTGAAGCGCTGTTGCAAACACCTGATACTCATCATCCTTTATTTTTGGGTTTTTGTCCACCTCCATTGAATGCAATCCTGTAGATTTTAAATTTGTAAGAAAGGCCAAGTCTCCTACTATCATCTTGTTTTTCAGTAATCTTAGAAATAATGAAAGTCAAAGATTTTTTTTTTTATTCATATTTGGGTCATTTATAAAAGGTAATTTTTTGCCATAGTTTTTTGAGTTCTCAGCCCTCTTTCTTCAGATTCTCACTATGCAGCAGTGCGGGCTGACCTGGAGTCCGATGCTCAGGACTTGGAGGCAGACTCCTGGAGTACAGCAGTCGATCAGCAGTATCTGAAGAAACATACAAAGGACGTGGTGAAAAGGCAGGATGTTATATACGGTAGGCGGGATTGCTTATTACTTCTACGTGCATGTATAAAACATCACTGCTGTTCAACAGTAACTTGAGTTTTTAAGCTGCATATTGAGATTGTAAAACCACATTTATTTAGTTTTTATTTTAATCTGGTTTTGATATTCCTCAGAGCTTCTCAAGGAGTATTAATGTAGAAAGACACAAATGGATAACATTTAAATTCATTAAAACTAAGAGGGTCAAGTAATTCTGCTTAATCAGATTTTTTTTAAATATCCTGAAATAGCTAATGTTCACAAATTGGTCTTATTGCATATATTATCTAATGCATTAATGTTAAATAATTGTGGATGTCTTATTTATAGATTTACGGTTCTTATAGAAGTATTCATATCCAATTATTGTAGATGACCCAGGTCACACAATCCTGCTGCTCACCTGTTGAATTTAACTTAGAGATAAGATGCACCTGTTTGTGTGACTTTGTTTCATTTATCATTAGTGCTTTTAAACACCATGCCAAATGCATCTTTCAATTTAAAAGAACATTATTTTTTATGTAAGATTCACCTCAAAATCTCGGAAGTATTATTTATTTAGCCCCTTTCCTTCAATTCCCTTTAATAAAGAATTAATGTTTGACTATAGCATATCAAAACGCATTCTGCAAAAGGAATTCTGAGAACCAATGTGTTTTTCTTGTATAGAGCTAATGCAGACCGAGATGCACCATGTGAGGACGCTAAAGATAATGCTGCGCGTCTATGTCCGAGAGATGAAGGAAAACCTCCAGATGGACTCTGGCAGACTGGACTGTCTGTTCCCCCGCTTGGAAAACCTCCTGGACCTTCACACGCATTTCCTGTCATGTCTCAGAGAGCGGCGGAGGGAAAACCTTGTCTCACCCAGCGACAGGAACTACACTATCAACAGAGTGGCAGACATCTTAATCACTCAGGTATGGACCAGAACAGTGATTCCAGCTTTCTGGAAGTGCCTCAAATATCTTACGGTTAAGCTTAGAAGCAAGCAAAGGTTGCTGATTGTTGTTAAAGCATGTTATTGGTGTGCTGCTACTATGAGCCTGTTTGTTGTATAGTTCTCAGGTGAAATAGGAGAGAGGATGAAGGACTGTTATGGACATTTCTGTAGCCACCACACTGAAGCTGTCAGCTTTTACAAGGAGCTGCTGCAAAACAATAGAAGGTTTCAGAACCTCATAAGGGTAGGTTGTGCAACCATTTGAGTTGTTACGCCTTTAATCAGTTCCCTTTTTATTGTGCCTGCGTAGACTGCCAAAAGATAGACATTTCTACTCTCTTTTTTTTCTTTTCTTTTTTTTCCTCCAGAAAATCAGCAACTTATCCATCGTACGGAGGTTAGGAGTGACTGAATGTATTTTGCTGGTAACACAGAGGATTACCAAGTATCCAGTACTAGTGGAGCGCATCCTCCACAACACGGAAGGTCCAACTGCTGCAGAAATCCCTATTACTATCATAACAAATTAAACAAAAGCATTGGCCGATTGGATTTGAAAATCTGCTTTTTGTTTTTTTTTCTGTCTGTAGAGGGTACAGAGGAGCATGAAGATCTGACTCGAGCGGTGAGTCTGATTAAAGACACCATCAAAGAGGTGGACACACTGGTTAATCTCCATGAGAAGGATTCCCGTCTCAGAGAAATACACAACAAGATGGAGCCAAAGGCACAGGGAAAGATCAAAGATGGCAGAGTGTTTCGCAGGGAGGACCTCGCTCAGGGCAGGAGGCGGCTGCTCCACGAGGGCACAGTGAGCTGGAAGGCTGCCTCTGGCAGACTCAAAGGTTTGCCTCAAAATTAACCACAATCAGTTTCTTCTTAAGAAACAACACTTCTTTGTCACCAACTAAATCCCTCTGATGATACTCTGCATCTTCCAGATATTCTGGCTGTCCTGCTGTCAGATGTGTTGCTCCTACTTCAAGAGAAGGATCAGAGATATGTATTTTCCACAGTTGTGAGTAATATTTGGTCTTTATTCATACAATTCATGTTGAAAGTTTAGCATAAATCCATGAGGAGCATAACTGTCATACGATGATGGGCCAAGTTGGGTCAAATCAAACAACCCAAGTTGATTTTTAAACCAAGAAATGTTTGATTAAGTTTAGTTTTTTGTAGATTTTTTATTTTTACACATTTAGCCTCAGGAATCTGTGGAAAGATGCGCCTTTCAAGCTTTACAGAAATGTCAGACTTTCTATAAGGATCAATAAGCTGCTACTAAAATTCATTTTGCCTCTGTGAGCCTTGTCATCCTTCTCCTGGCTTTGAAGCGTGGCTGACATGTATCGTTAGGGTCATCGCCTGGGTCAGTGAAGAAGCATAAGGTTTTGGATCATACAGTAATCCTACTGGAACAACAAATACTTTCAATGTTTCAGCCATTTATTGTTGGTCCTTCTTCCTTATTGTACATCTTTGCTGCTGCCACCACCGTGTTTGAGTGTTAAAACAGGAATCAGCACAATGAAAACTTTTCCTTTGTCTCATCTGACTGGAAAATACTTCTCCAGAAGTCATGCCGTTGGACTCCAAGTGTCACTTTTTAACCAGAACTTGTTTCTCGTTTTTTTCCTCAGTCCACAGAGATGTAAAAATCTGATGATAACTTTAAACATGACATTCATCCATGAAGAGTAGATGCAAACTTTCTACCTGTACTGTAACACTGTTAACAATAGCTTTTATTAATCAGTTGTAGAAGAAAAAAATAAAATCAGTTTGTTCTCTGTTTCCCTGTCTTTAATCCTTTCAGGACAACAAGCCATCAGTGATTTCTCTCCAAAAGCTAATAGTTAGAGAGGTGGCCCATGAGGAGAAGGCCATGTTTCTCATCTGTGCTTCCTCAAGCGAGCCAGAGATGTACGAGATCCACACCACTTCTAAAGAGGAGCGAAACACTTGGATGACGCACATACGGCAAGCTGTAGAAAGGTAAACAGGAGTTACACAAGCGGTCTGTGTTGAAATACTTCTTACAAGCACATTAATTTCCTGTAAACATCTTAAAGCTGGTTGTGCAAAATGCATTGAATAGTTTTACAATGTTAAGACGGATAATAATTCGTAGCATGTTGCTGTGTTTTCTTTTAGTTGTCCTCATTCTGAGGAGAGGCTGGTCAGTGAGGAAGAGGAGGCTCGTGCTTCTAGACTTAGAGAGTTTCAAGGTAACGTCTGACGACAGGAACACATTCATGTCCACAAGGAGGTGCTGATGTCTCACATTAAGCCTTTGGTTTATTGATGGTGTCAGGAAGTTAAAGAGTTGGCTCAGTTTGTTCCAAAGAATTCTTAGCAGTTTTTCTTTAAATTTTTTTTTTGAGGGGAAAAACTTTTTTTTTCTAAAAAAAAAACAGCTGATATCAGAACAAACAAACATATTAAGAGCTTAATATTCCCCTAAAATTACTCATATCTATAAGCTGATCAACTGAATTAACCCCAAAAGGGGTTAAATATGATCAGATATTAGATAGAACCTTATTGATCTCACAATGAAGAAATTTGCTTGTGATATTGAGTCTTATAAACAACAGAAGTTTCACAAAGGAGGAAAAGGTGCATGAAGTATATGCAGTACATCAGATATATTTACAGTGGATAGGAAAAAAAACTAAGAAAAAGAGACTTATAGTGAATTTTATTCATTATTTATAATAGTATTCATCTATATACTCATTCAGTAGAAAACCCATGTCCTGTATTTATGGAACCATTATTTATCCTGCACTTGCTGCTATTGCACTTCTGGTTAGACCTAAACTGCATTTCGTTGCCTTGTACCTGTAAATATGTAATGACAATAAAGTTGAATCTAATCTAATCTATATACAGTAAGGATTGAAGGTGTCTTATGTACAGTCAACTGGTGACTGGTTAAAACAAAGTGCAGTAAACACCAGTATGTATTTATTTTGTAATTTGTTTTTGAGTTAATCAAATTATGTCCGTTTGGGCCTGCAGAGCGTCTGAGCCAGCGAGATGCAGTGATCACCCAGGCTCTCACAGAGAAGCTGCAGCTGTTCACAGAGATGGCGGAGTCTGTGGCAGGTCTAGAGGACACGGCTTCTCGTTCTAGACTGCTGCTACGAGGAGACTCCTCAGACCTCCAGCAGGGAGAGACTCTACTCAAAGGAGCCATCACTGAAGGTAGGCAGGTGCTGTAAGGAAGGCAGGTGCTATGTATCATCTGCATCAAAGGCACCTTTTCTTGCACTGTATGGAAGTTGTGCACCCCTTTGCTTCTTTGTCTCTTAACATTTGCCGTTCTTGCTTTCTTTGAAACCTTAGTTGAAAACCTGCAGAACTTGTTGCAGTCTGGAGTGAGGGAGGAGGCTCAGTCCACTCGGGCAGAGGAGGGAAGCGGTTCTGGGGTTCTGCCCAGGAGAGCAGGAACCTTTGGAGGCTATGACAGCAGCCCGGCCATCCTCAGTAAGAGTGAGTGTACAGTCTTCTCATCATTCTGTGGAACTGATTATGTTTTTTTTTCCTTGGTAAACTTTCCTCTCTAGTCTTTACTTCTCTGTATTACATACAGTTAAACATGCGGCATGTGTCCATATGAGCAGTGTTTATAGATCTTTTGTTTCATTTCTGTGCTCCTACATGTATTTGTGTGTTTGCCAGACGGCAGCGTAAAGAAGAGCTTCTCTGGTGAGTCTAGAAATCGAGACAGGAGCCAGAGAGCCAGCTCAGACCCTCAGCTCAAAGACCTCTGTGGAAGCCACACCCTGGAGCAGACGGTAGGGGCCTCACACACCTACATACGCAGGATATTTTGGGATGTGTCACTCTGTTATTTATCTATGGATAAGCAGAGGGAAAGTTTTAATTTCCTTTTTTATGTTTGGTGGAATATGAATAGCACAAGTCTCTTTATGTGTTTATAAGTATAAACTCTAGATAAATATTATCATGAGAACATTCAGTTAATTCCCAACAATCGTGGTCCTTGAGAACAATCGCCCTGTCTAAATATAGCTCTGTGTTGGTGACAGGGAGCACTGTTTGTGGAACAAAAGCCAAGCCAACAGACAGAAATATACCAGACAAATATTTGATCTGAACTTCGCTCTACTCCACAACACATTGCTGCTAAGCTGTTGCCTTTTTTTGATCATCAATTGTCATGAACATCAACATTATTACATTTCTTTGTTTTTTACTTTTATGCACGTGACCTTTATTTGCATTATTTCTGTAAGTGAGTGGCCTCATACATGTGTCACGTCTGGAGATGATTCTACTTTCTACAAATTTTTAGCCCAGAGTCTGTGTGTGACTAGTTGGGGTTACAGTATTTTCACTTTCTTTATTTCCATTCTTTCACTTTCTTTATTTCTCAGGTTGATCAGAGTTGCTCCTCTCCTCCAAAATGGAACCGCATCTGGTCCAACTCCTTCCCTGAAGCTGAGGTGATCTTTTCTCAACATACATAGCTGCTGGATCTTATTTCGCATTTGATCTGTGTCCTCATGTGGGGAAAATGCTTCAGAAATGTGTTCAGAAATGTGAATTCATGTGTTCCCTGAATTCTCTTTCTTTATCATTCTAGTTCTTTGACAGAGTGCTGATGCTCTCCCAGAGACTTTACAGCTTGCAGGTAATAAATACTGTGCGCTACACACTCTGATTTAGTTTACAACACCTGCAATTCCAGATAAAACAATGTGTTCCGTTCAAAGCAAATATATACATATACTTTAAAAGGACTTATGATTATTTATTTATTTTTTTACTTCTCTGTTATTTGCCTGTTTTATGTCAGTTACCAGAATATTTTCCACTTGCTGAATGCCAGAATAGACAACCTTTGTATTAAGGTTTTCATAAAACTGGCAAATTAGTATTGGATCTGGATACTCCTCAAACCCTCTGCCGCCTCTTGTGACTTAATGGAGAAATGAAAAGAAATCAGACTAGATATCAGGAGGAACACCATGGACCCCTACAAGGTCGCAGTTATCTTCAGCACTTTTTTATTTCACTATCTTTTGTATATTACTGAGAGTGTGGCTCAGGTGTGGTTGTGAAGAAGAAAGTGCAGGATCAGTTTAAATGTTTTGTTATTTATTTTTTGGTCCTTTAATATAGTAACTGCAGAACGTTTACGCTGCTTCACTTTTCTGAGCCCCATCAGGCATCAAACTCTTTCTGATATACTGCCTATAATCTTAGAAATTAATTCTGTTTAAAACATTATTGGGTAATGGGACTTTTACAGCTTTTAACATGAAAAGGGAAATCTGCAGGGGTTTGAATAGTAGAATGACTGAGAAATGTTGAGCGTGAACAACACCTTCAGCGCAACGTCTTGCTGATGCTTCCCTCTATAGAAGGGGTCTGCGACCTTTATGATCCAAAGAGCTGATCTCGCCCTCGGTCCAGCTAAATGAAACATACTTATAGCCGCAAATGTAAGGACTTTCTGGAAAAAAAGAAAAATTTTTTACCAGAAATATCTACTTGTTTTCATTTTTATCAAACCACTATTGTAATTTTAGAAAACAAAAAACAAATTTTTGCAAAAAAGAAAAAAATAATAATTTTCACTGTCATTTTCATTCCAGTTGGTATTTGTGGAAAATTATATAAAAACATTGTTTCTAAACAATTGAAAAGAAAACAAATAGCATGTAAAAAAAACATTCCTTTTAGGAATATTCTATTGCACAGATTCATACCATTTATTGACTAAGAACATACGTAAAACAACATAAATATTTAGCTAAAATCTGCATTACTGGTTTTTGTATCTATATTAAAAGGAAAGCATGATTGAAGCTTGAAAGCAACCTGATGCTTTAGCACCATCTTGTGGTAGTGCTGTTGGTAGTGCTCTGTTGCTTTTTTTTTTTTTTTTTTTTTCAGTTTAATGGGGATAAACCTTGATTGTTATCCTGAAGGGAAGCAGTATCTGCATTTTATTGTTACGAATCAACATATGATGTCAGAAGCCATGGTATGGCTTGGGTCTAATCATTGTAAATTGTACTTTCCCGTTTTGTTGATTGTGTCTTCTTGCTTTCCTCCTTGCTTAGGCCATCGTATCCCAGCAGGACAGCCAGATAGAGCTGCAGAGGGCCTCACTTACAGAGCGGGTGTCGTTACCTGGACGCCACAGAGGAAACGTGCTCCTAGAACAGGAGAAACAGCGAACTTTAGCTCTGCAGAGAGAGGAGCTGGCCAACCTGAACAAGCTTCAGTCTCAGCACAGGCAGGAGCAGCAGCGCTGGGAGAAGGAAAGGGAGAGGCACCGCCAGCAAGTGGAGGTGACCGAGGCCCGGCTACGGCAAAGAGAGGAGGAGTGCAGGAAACTTGAGGTACAGCTTTATAGTGCTGCTTTAAAGATACTAAGCTGATTTATAGGGGGTTGGATGCACACTACAGGTTTCAAATGCACATAGTTTTATATCGATAAGGCATATAAACTACAGTGCTGTATGATATATTTACTTTAATACAGGAGCAACTGGCTAAGGAGAAGGAGGAACTGGACCGGCAGAGAGAGACTTATCAGAAGGACCTGGAGAGACTGCGGGAGTCCACCAGAGCTGTGGAGAAAGAAAGGGAGCGACTGGAAAACGTGAAAAAGATGAAAAGGAAAACAATCGAGGTGAGAAGCCTATAATGGTAACAGGGATACAATATTTGGTGACACTCCAGAAAGTATTGAAATAATTTGATCCCAGTAGCATTTGAATGGATTAGGTTATTTTTAAACACGCATCTCTGTTTTTCTGAGATTATCTCCTGAGCTGGCAGGCTTAGGGCCGCTCACCTCTTCCCTGTTCTAGATAACTTATTAAGTTTTCCTTACAACATACTTTCCTTGTGACTCCCAGTATTTATTTGCAAACAGGCCCCCATGTTTCTCCACCTTATGAGCTCAGCGCTTTGCAAGTCATAACTCCATTTGTAGGGTTGTACAGGGTACAGTGCTCTGCTCAGATCTCTGCTGCTGGGCTAAACCACAAATAGGCTCCAAGGTAGCAGTAGTTTAGGTTTATCTCTGTCGGCATCAGGCCAATTATAGAAATCAATCATTGTTGTGTTCAAACTGTTTATATTATCAGGTAAGTCTAACATTATGTAGCAATGCACTCGGAAAGCTCCATATTTGCTCTCACACGGGGTCTGCTGGAACACCAACAAACCAGCATCCACATAAAAGCATTATTTTAACTTGTACAAACTGTTACTTATAGGGTAGAAAGGCATATATCTGTCATTGTAGTACAATGTGGGTCATTGTTTGCCTGCTTCATGGGAGAGGAGTTTTCAGGATGATCAACCGACTGTAATTTCATGCCTGGTGCTAACAGGTCTGCCAAGAAGTCATGATAAAACTGCCTTATAAAAACACTGGCAATCACTCAGATAATTGTTGCAATGGGGTTTTTCTGTCAGGCATAAAGAAAGTATAAATCTAGACTTGTATAGAGAGGAGAATGACATCAGTGTTTGCGTCACATCTTGACTCGCATACGTTTCTGTCATCAAGAGTCTCATTTGATGTGTTTACTCAAAATATCTCTGACACAAAGCAGGCCGGAACACATCAGCACAGTGAGTCACTGCCCCTGGTCTGCAGTGGCCAGTCATCCATAAGTTGTACCAGCAGGCATGTTTTTGCACATTAAACCCAAGAGGCATGATGTGGCTAATGGAAATGGAAACTGTAAATAGCCATTTGTTTAAAAAAAAAAAAACTTTTCAAAGTATTAAAGAAATGGTTTGCATCAGGGTGAATTAATGAACTGCTCTTTAAAAAGAAAACCTCATCTATGCATTTTCAGACGGTCAGAGATGTCGCTAAATGAGTCATGTGACCCAGAGTAATCTGAGTTCATTTAAACATGAGAGCTAACTAAGCTAAAATTTGTTGTAAGGCAGCAAAACCGATACAACTTACCTGATTAGACATATGTTTTGTTCTCTGATGTAAGATTTAGCCGCTTAAGTTTGAGACAGTGCAGGGCTGACATAGTGTTTCAGGGCTACTATACCTAGGAGTTACACGTCTAGCACCCCAAGTGGCTAAATGTTACACAGTGAAGCTGTAATATTTAATTCCAACATTTTTTTTTTTTTTTTTTGATTGGAGCCTCTTGTTTTAAACAGATAAAAAAATTGATTTATATAATTGCGTATTTAGCCACTATTTGGCAGCAGAGCAAACATAGGGTTCAATATTGAGCTGCTATTACATTTTGATCAGACTTTTTTTCTGTTCTAACATAGATATACAAGAAAAGTTTATTTCTAAGTTGAGCTTTGAAAGTAGAAAAAAAAAATGAAAAAAGCATATTCTAGCATTAACTTTATTTTATTTTTTTTACTGAGGGCCATTTGGGTCCCAAAAGTCCTTAATATGCAGCAGCCTGTTTTAGCAACGAATCAAAATAAGCAAATCAGTTTCTAACCTCTGCATCATAGACAGCAACTGAGACTATGCGTTTTCTTTAAATGATAATACACTGTTTATTTTGTATTTCCCTTTAGCTTAGTCTTTATACAAAATGCCCTAATGCTGCTAACAACTATTCTAACTGAAAATGCACTTTTTGTTCATCTTTGGCTGAAAATTTTCGGTTGGCTGAATTTGCAGTGCATCCCTGGGAATCATATATAACCAACACGAAACAAAAAAATCACATCAACCAGAATCCCAAAATAGTTTACCAAAGACGGCTAAATATGTCTAAAAACTTTTCTATATTAAAACATTTACATATATTTTTTGTTTTATCTGTGCATGTATATTATCTACTGCATAAATTAGATCAATAATTGGTCTGGATATATTAACAAAGTAATATATGTAAACAAAATGAGGAGAGATGGCCTAGTGGTTAGAGCAGTGCGCTTGTGCTCTGAGAAGATTTCAAGTACCCGGTTCAATCCCCAGAGACTGCACTCGGTCTCTCTGAGCAAGACCCTTAACACCACACTTCTCCCTGGGTGCCACACAATGGCAGCCCACTGCTCCCCAAGGGGATGGGTTAAAGGCGGAGAGTTGGTTTCTCCATTGTGAGATCAATAAAGTTTAATTTCAATTTCCAAAACCTAAGGATGGAACAGTAAATGCACAGAAAAAGGCAACAAACATATGCCTCTCTACCGTCAGTGTATGCGACCGATGTAGAATATAACATCTCAAATGTCTGGTTCCCAAAAACTCAAAATTAAGCTTTAAATGATGTTAAGTCCATAGGAGAAATTGTTTTGTTTCGACGTCTGCCTGTATCACTAACTTTTGATGCATGATCTGGACATATTCTTTGAAGCCTCTCGGAGCATCACACAGCAGCAGAACCAGTTAGTAAGCTCTGCCCTTCAGCGGTTTATGTTTTCACATGGTTTGAGTGACACTTAAATGTCCATTCAGTTTAGACAGATGTGTATATAATGCCACCAATCTAACAGCCAGTGTGGCTTCTTCATCTGTTTGTTCTGAGATATTTGAACTTTATTCAGATAGCTTGATTTGAAGTTGTCTGTAAATGCACAAACTATTGTTCCAAAACATCTATGCTTTTAATTTACTCTTCTTTTTTTTTAAATAACGGATATAAATGAGCTTACAAGAATGGGTTTTAAAATGATGACAAACTGCAACATCATATTGATTTAGTAGTAACATGTTTCTTTTGCTGTGGTAAGGGACTTTTCCTGGCCGTGGGAGATTTACAAGTGCACTCCTGCATCAAGCAGCATCAAACCAGCTTTTCATTAGCTATTACCACAGAATCTCTTTCAGGCTTTTTGCCAAGCTGATATCATCAGACATTTAATAGCCCCCACCCAAACCTAAGGCTCATCAGCAAACTTAAAGAGCTATAATTAGACTCTGGGAAAAGAAAAACAGGAAGGTTTATTATTTTATTTTTCTCAACAAATATGTGGAAAATGTTGCTTGCCTGAGAATTTTCACTACTTTTTTTTTCTCTTTTCACCTTAGCCATGATGGGTTCTTTTCAACATCAGTTTATAGAGGAATCATTTAAACATAAACTCATAATTTCACATATTATTATGTGTTATTAAATGTTAAATCTCCATAGATCATAATGAATTTTATTGAACTCCTCAAAGGAAGAAACTAGGCCGAGTGTTTTTAGCTATTCAATAAGTTCAAGTTGCCTCCTGCTGTTCTTTTGCTCCAATTGGCTACATTAACAAGAAAGACAAAACTACCAAAGTTATGGGAGCAGAAAACCGTGAAAACTGTTAAACTGACTTAAGAGATGCTGACTCACATCTGTGTCCTAAACGAAGGTGGCTTCAGTGATCTGAGTCTGTCCTTATCATCACCCCCACCTGGTAAACAAACACAGATGCCTCTGACTCACCTTCCTGTTTCGTTCCGCTTTGATGAACAAGGAGAACGAACAACGCTTTCTGGCAGTTGTTGCCCTCAAGCTGTTTGGATCCATTTCCCATCTGTTGGCTGTGTATTGTTTATAGTATAACTCAGTCCTTCACCTACGAGTTGGGCTAAATGATTCATACTATATATAGAGCCATGCAGGCATTCATTTCATTTATTTCACATGTTGCTGCAATGCAGCTAGAAACTTCAGTATTTTTTAGATTTTAGATAATGAACCAAAACTCTATTTGATTTATTTTAGTGTAGGCAGAGTAAGAACTGTCAGGAGGCAGAGCCGTAAAATTAAAGGCAGAAAGGGGGCAATAAAAGCAGGAATTCAAATAAGTAATTTAACGTTACATAATCAGTCATAACATTAAAAGAATAATGCATATTCATGTAGTAGAAGGAAAAGACAGGTGCTGTTCCATTATTCTGCCAAGTGTATTCAGTCCTAACTGAGGTTTGACTTTGTAAAACCCTCCTGTCGCTGCTATGAAAGCTGCAAGTCTTTTAAGCTGGTCTATACCAGAGTTTCACATCTAGAGCTTTATTATTTGCTAAGTTTTAAGCTAGGCGATATTTTCAATCATTGCACGCAGCTGCAGCTCACACTGTACGACGAAACCACAGGGTTTTGTCGTACAGTGGGAGTTCAAAGCTCATGTATGTTCTCACACTGTGCGGCCCGACCCTCTGGTGCGATCTACCTGCTCGTACTGCACATCTGAAAACCATATCGGACTTCGCTCCGATGTGAGATGGCACTACTCGGACTCGTCTATACGGAAGCCAAACGAGTAGAAGAGGAATATGAAGCTCACTGGAGTGAAACGCTCTGCCTTGGTCATTTGGAAAATTTTGTGCTGAAAGCCCTTAAAAGAAAAGGCGACACAGTTTTGGACAAAGACGTGGCTGAGCAAATGTGGCTACTACGGTCTGTCAATTTTACATAAAGGTCCAGCCCTTCATCCTAAGGATAGATTTAATTAAAAGTTCCTGTTCACAGACTATATCCATGCAGTCTGACTTGGGTTGACTAAAGCCGGGCTTACACTGTACAGTTTTTTTTTTTTGCCCTTTTCGAGCCGATTCTCCAGTCATGCGAGAATTTTTCAATCAACAAGAGCATCTCATGACCATCTCCCGATCAGGAATCGTGAGGTCGGGAGAAAGTCAAACATGTTTGAAATTCAGTCGGCCATCACGAATTGGTCGTGGATAAATCGCTCGGTGTGCAT